TATATATACATACACACACCACATGTCAGATAAGACAGGCTGACTTAATACTTTAAAAATGAATATAAGAGTATTCTTTCATGAGTTTACTAGTTTTAAGATGTTCGACTTAAACGGCTCACTCTATATGCACAAATGTCACTCCTTGAGAGTCACTTAGCCTTGCCAAGTCTTTAAAATTCTCCGTAACATGTCCGTAACATGACTGTAAGTCTTTTCTCCGTCTGCCAACAGGTCCCGAAGAGGTTTCGAATCTTCAAACAGGAATGGATTTCCACAACTAGTGTTCCATGGTCCCAGTGGATCTGAAGGGACCGAGCCTCTTATGGTCTGCCCCATCGAGCCTTCCAGCAAGGGCATGGTCTCGTAATCCTGATCGTCATTCCACAGAGTTCGCCTCTCGGAGTCTCGGTCCTCCCTGTAATTCTTCCTCCTCATCTCTCTTATTCTCCATTCCAACCTTTCTCTCCTTTCTCTCTCTACTCTCTCTTTCTCCTTTCTCAGACTCCTCCTCCACTCTCTCGCTTTGGCTTCTCCCCCATAAGAAGGTCTGGGTGGGATCTCCATTCTCCTTCTATAATCTGCCTCCTCCTTAGGCACTCTTAGTCTTTCCCATAATCCCATCCAGGGATCCTCCATCCACACTCATTCCCAACTGGGCGACAACTGCCCATCCTTCCTTTTTACCTCCCCTGTTCCTCTCTTTCCTCTCCTTTTCCGCCTTTTCCTCCTGAATCTCCCCCATCACTACTTTCTGCATCTCTTCTGTCAGCTCCTCTCTATTTCTGTCCCTTGCTGAGCTTCCACTGCAGGCTCTGGTGCTGGCTGGGGTCTTGCCTCCTTATCCTCGTGGAGGCAGGATGGCTCTCCAGCGAGTGGGACATCCCTCTCGCCTTCTGTCTCACATACACAGAGAGAGAACAGTTCTCTCTATCAGGGTTCTCTTCCATAGCACTGACAGTCCTTTCCACACAGTATTGTGTGTAATGAACTTTAAAGGCCCTTATGATCTAGAGCAGGGGTCTCCAAAGTATGGCCACATCCGGCTCACCTTACCTTTTTATCCGGCCCGGCTATGTGTGGGGGGAGAGTGCAGAGGGGGCGGGAGTTCCTTCAGCCCTCAAAAATATGGAAAATATATTACATGTCCCTCACAGTGAAAAGTTTGGAGACCCCTGATCTAGAGGCTGAATTAGAGATGTTGTGTTTGGGGCAAGGAGACCAATTCGGCACCTTCAGTGTTAAACTCATGTGGCTAGGAACACAATATTTATTGAATATTTATGTATTGAACATTGATTGTTTTGTTTGTTTATTGGGGAAAAAATCAATGCATAATCAAAACCATGCTGCTCAAACCTGAGCAATTAAAGGGAGAAATGTACTTGCTTCATAGGTTCAGGCTTCCCTTCAGCCCCCGTTGCTGTTCACAGTGAACACAGAATGTTCTACTCTGGATAATGTGATGACTTACATTAAACATACGTATTTATTGTTTGAATTGCCCACTTTGTGTACACGTTGACTGGTGCATGACCACCTGAGTTTCGTAGGTAATAACCTTCTCTTGTGGGGGAGGATTATTTCAGCTGACTTCATTGTGCTTCCTCAACACAGATAAATGCATCACCAGTGATCTACTCAAGGATATCCCCTTAACTGGGGTCCTGAGTGGGAGAGAGAGTGGGAGTGGCAGCGGAAATGGAAGCGCCAGTGCAAGTGGAAGCGTTGTTGGAAGCGTAACTGTCGAGCCAGAGCTTGTGAAAGGAGGTAAGAGCCAGGTCTGTTTCTTGAGAAGGCGCCATTGGGCTTTGGGGGACATAGGGGAAACATCTACAGTGTCCTCCATCTTTCCCCAGAACCCCTCCCGCCTCCAAAAGAAGTTATCAATGGAAACATTAAAACCTTGACCGAGTACAGAGAAGAGGAGGATGGCCGCAAGGTGAAGGTGAGTGGAGGTTTGCGACCAAGCTGTGTCTCTTCTTTCTCCTTTTCTTAGGACAGTTTGTGGCATCTTGAAGGATGGGGCCCCACCCTCTTATCCAATTGCCTTTCACTGATAGAGTGGAAGCTAACTTCCCCCTGCACCGTATTTTTCTGTTGTGTTGGGATGCAGACTAATTTTCTCCAACCATATTGTTCATTTCTGTCCTGATTTAAATGGGCATATTTTATGGAGCCTTTCATTCCAGCCTTTCCTCATGTCCTACAGACACAGAAAAGGAAACGTTAGGATAGTGACTTAAGCACAATCACTGTGAGATCCAAAATAAGTAAGAAATACCAATATGCAGATGAAGGCTGTGATCTGGGGATTTCCTTTTCTCTTAGTTCATGCCCTGAGTATGATTTGTTGCTTTCTTCTGGCAGATCATCCGTACCTTTCGCATTGAGACCCGTAAGGCCTCCAAAGCTGTGGCAAGGCGAAAGGTAAGTCATTGGGAGGAACACGAATGAAGGTTGCTCTGTTTCCTCAGAACACTTGAACAGGCAGGGATGCCAGATTCAAATTAATGTTTGAAAACAAGGGCAGCAGTACATTCTTTGCGCTCAGATCACAGATGGGCAGCTGACATCCCTTCAAATGTTGTAGCACTCTTATTTCCCATGATTCCTGAACATTGGCTGTTCCAGCTAGAGGTGGTGGTAGTTTCATTGTAACATCTAGAACAGTGGTTCTCAACCATGAGTCCTGAGACATTCTTGGATTGTACTTCCCAGAAGCCTTCGCCACTAGTTGTGTTGGCCAGGATTTCTGGGAGTTGGAGTCCACAAAATATCCAGAAACCCAAGGTTGAGAACCACAACTCTGGAAGGCCACAAGGTGGCGAGCACTGCAGTATTCCAAACATGGTCAAATGTGTGTCTTTTAGAGTTAAAAATTATTCTAGTTTCTCAAACTTGGAGGGTTTGAAGCCCTCCTTGAAGTTTCCATTGAAAGGTAGGCTTCACTTGTACACTTGTGTGTGCGTCCTTTTTTTGTTAATTGTTCTAGAAATTTAATTGTCCTAATGTGCCCCACCTAATAAGCCCTCTCCTAATCTTGGGACCCAAGCAAATTCTTATCTTTGCCACCATGCAAAGCTGGCTCTGAAAGGTTGCTTGAAATCTCTTCAGAACTACTTACCTCCAGACAGCATTCCCTCTCATTTTTTGGAGTTCTGTGTGGAGGATCTCCCCCCCCCCCATGCACACACATGGAGTTCCAGCTGCAAATGGAAGCAAATGGGCAGATACACTCACTCGGCTGCATGTAACCAAACTGGCACACTCCCGCACGGCTTGGAGGGAATGTTGCCTCCAGCTATGCTTCATAGTTAGATTTCCACTTGCCAGGTGCTATTTGCTTCCTCCGAATTGATAGTCTTTTGACTCGGGATGCTCAATGTTGAACAGAATCCCCTTTCATGGCTACTGCAGCTACCTCCCTACTACTCTGCAGGACCCCAGCAGCCGATGCTTTGACTACAGGTATTCCTGAACTCTTTTCTTCTCCCCTCTAGAACTGGAAGAAGTTTGGCAACTCAGAGTTCGATGCCCCAGGTCCCAATGTGGCCACAACAACTGTGAGCGACGATGTCTTCATGACTTTTATTACCAGCAAGGAGGTGAGTGGCAGTGTGCATAAGGTTGGGCATAGGCCAATACTTTAAGGAGGGAGGAGAAGAGGAGAAACTTAAAGCTAGGTGTGAGTGTTTAGATGAAGTCTGTTACAATTGTTCTGCGTTGCAAAGTGCTGGTGGTTGTCCTTCATTTTGGGTACATTGCAAGGTGTGATTGAGAGTTGCATGGATAAGGTTTAGTGGTTTTTACAGACTTGAAGAGAATGATGGAGAGGCAGGTTTTCATTTATGCCACCCGCTCCTCTATCCTCACCTCTGCCAGGACTTGAACTGCCCAGAGGAAGAGGACCCCATGAACAAGCTGAAGGGGCAGAAGATAGTGTCCTGCCGGATCTGCAAGGGTGACCACTGGACCACTCGCTGCCCTTACAAGGACACCTTGGGACCCATGCAGAAGGAGCTGGCTGAGCAGCTGGGGCTCTCCACAGGAGAGAAAGACAAGCTGCCCGGAGGTGAGAGCTGCGGGAAGGCCAATGATATTGGAGGAGCCCTGTATCCACTCTGTGGGGTGGGAAGCACGATTGTTCCCTGAACTTAATTAAAACTCTGTCTTATTTCCACAGAGCCAGAACCTGTTCAGGCCCAGCAGAACAAGACTGGGAAATATGTCCCACCCAGTCTGAGAGATGGAGCCAGCCGCCGGGGGGAGTCCATGCAGCCAAACCGCAGAGGTGGGTTGCTTGAAAGGGGAGGCAAACAAAATCTTAAAAATGCATTGTGCTGGGGCTGGGGAACACAAAACTGTCAAGGGTGGGGCTGCCTTAGTCTTTCCAGTTGTACCCCCCTGATCCAAGGGTCTTCTTTCTTTCCCTCTTTCCACCCCACCCCTTTAGCGGATGACAATGCCACTATCCGTGTCACCAACCTTTCTGAGGACACCAGAGAGACTGACCTGCAGGAGCTCTTCCGTCCCTTTGGATCCATCTCTCGGATCTACTTGGCCAAAGATAAAACCACCGGCCAGTCTAAGGTATGGAAACAGGTGGAACCTCAGGATAGGTGGCTGTGTTTGGCTGGGAATGGGTTGTGGAAACAGCTGCCCCCACTTTTAATTACTGGAATTCATTGTGCTAGCAGTCAGCGAAATGATCTTTTTTTATTATTTTTGCTTCCCTTCAGGGTTTTGCCTTTATCAGCTTCCATCGCCGCGAAGATGCTGCCAGAGCCATTGCAGGAGTGTCTGGCTTTGGCTATGATCATCTGATCCTAAATGTGGAATGGGCAAAGTAAGTGAATCTCGCGATTCCTTGACCCCCGCTCACCCCATCCCACGCCACCTCCCAGCTTTTCCACTCAATGGCTCTTGGATCTTAAGAGAAAATGTCTACAGAGACAGGCTGTTGGTTCCCTGAGATGGTGTCCAGGTAGAGCATAAGATGTCAGCAGGTTTATCCTGTAGACTTGTGGTGCTGTAATGGCGGCCTGACCCCAAGCGCTATTCCAGCCTTTCTATATTTTGGACCCAAATGTTAAAAGAAGTGAGAGCCATTGCGGTGTAGTGGTGAGAGTATGGGACTGTCTCCATGTGGCAATCAGTAAAACTCACTGAGGATCCTTAGGTGAGCCTCTCTCCCTCAGCCTGGCCCCTTTACAGGATGGTTGTGAGAATAAAGTGAGAAGGAGGAAGAGGACTGCATAAACTGCTCTTCAGATCTAAATGTAACAAATGGGAGCAACAAACATTTAGGGACCTAAGTGTGGGAGAGCTGTGTAGTTAAGTCTTGTTGCCTAATCCAGGCTAGAAGCAGTTCCGACATTTTTCAGCCTTTTTTCTAATAGAATGCCTAGAAAACAAAATAGTTCTTGAAAATCAGATTCTGTTCATTGTGTCTAAATTCTCGCCCTCACACATGCCTCTTGTAATGCTACCCGTTTCTGTCTTCCACAGACCTTCCACCAATTGAGTCCTGCAGCATTTATCTCCGGACATTACTCAGTTGTTCTTCACTGGAGATAATCGTCATTAATAAAGAATTCATTCTAGCTGCTTCTGGTGTTTCTGTATCTCCAAAGCAGTTCTCTCCATGGTGGACTCTTCCAGTCTTCTGTCAAAGAGTCTCTTCTTCCTGATGAAAACAGGTGGCTGTTTTCTTGGAAGCGCAGAGCTGCTGCTGCTGCTCCAGGGTTCTGCTTTTTGTTTTCTTTTTTCTTTTCATGTCTGTGTGCTTCTGATTGTAGAAGAATTTCAGACTTTTAAACCGTTTCACTTGATCTTCCAGAGAGAAATGAGTTGGGTGGTGAGAAGAGGATCTATTCACTGCACTTGAATCAGTTGGATTCAAGTTGGTATGAACGACCAGATCTGTTGGTCCAGTGAGTGAAGGAAAAAGGGCTCCTCCTTGGACCACCACCTCTTCCCATGTGTTAGAAGAATAGCCACCAGGCTTGTCAAAACCAGGATCCTCTTTTAATCCCACCAGGAACCTTAAAATCCAGTTTGTTACCTTCGGTATACACTTCCCAGAACATCACCTTTGAAAACAGATGTCAAATGCAGTGCCATGTTCCTCAGGAAGGTGGCAGTTGTGGCATGTTTACATATCTCCTTAGGGTGGACTGTGGTTTCTGTGTTCATGTGAAGGGAGACAGGAGGGGTGTCAGCTGCTCAGCATAGTCATCTGCCACTTTCTTGCTGTTTGCAACCACTTCTGCATCTAAACCGGAAATATGTTCAATATGCCTTAACGGTGTTAAAGGCGAATTGCTTTTCCATCCCTTTGCCACCCACCCGCAGCAAACCCTTCCCCTTCCTTCCCTGTTTTCTGAACCCAAGAGAGCTGGCTCAGTTCTCTCAGTTGCTCTCAAACATTTGAAGAAAGAGTGAGCAGTTTGTAGCCTTCCAAAGGTGGCCAGATGGCAAGTACCGCCAGCCACCCCACCGCCCGCCATTTGACTGCTGGTGGGTTAAAGCAGTCGCTGGAAGAGGTGCTAACACATGTGTAAGAGTGGCTTCTAAAACAGCACAGTACTTCCCAAAACATCTTAACTATCTAATTATTGATTTTAATTAGCCAGTCCAGGAAGCTTAGGTCCCGAAAACACCTGTTTGCGAGCGCGGAGGGAGCTGTCAAAATCGTCGTCTAGCGAAAAACGGTTTGCAAAGCAGGGACCAAACATTGTCCAGCAAAATTCCCCCATAGGAATCACTGTTTTGCGAATCGCTATAGCGATCGCAAAAAGCCAATGTCTAGTGAAAAAACTGTCATGCGGGGTAACTGTCTAGCGAGGCGCCACTGTGCTTCAAGGAAATGAACATACAGACAAAAAAGGAAACAGAAAAAAAAGGAGCAAAAGCGCCTCATGGCTTGATGGCAAATTATACATTTCTGAACAATGTCGTAACTACTGACCAATAGTAATGCGCCTAAACACCTTACATATATAGTATGTCACTCATGAGTACCAATCGGTGAAAATGTCAGCAGATGATATTTCAGACTACAGGATCATGCGAAGTCCCTCGTAAAATTAGGTTGTATAGTAAAATGGAGACCACCCAGCGAGTTAAACTAGAAGAGGGTACCACAATGTTTTTGTTGTCTTTATTATTTGGTTTTTGTCTGAGCTACTGAAAGAGGGGCTGCTAAATAAAATTGGGTGCCGGTTACTTCATCTCCAGTAGGTCCTACATAAGTGAGAAGCAGGCAGTGCTTGCATTAACTGGGGAACATGCCAGTGATGTGTCCAGTTTGTTAGTCTTTTTCCAAACAACTCCTTGGTGTACTGGATGAGTGGTAGAAGAAGAAGCCACAGTGAAAGAAATAAAATACAGTATACAGGATCCCGTTGGAAAGCTAAACACCAAATGGATAAGTCACTGGAGAGGCCTGGAGCTCATCAACAACAGACTGTTGGTGTTTATTGAGGCTGAAAGGAGACAAGGACTCATAAAATACGGAATGTTTGTTTACAAGAAGCCATTAATACGACTCCATATGTGTGTTATATATAAGCTATATTTAAGTCTGTTGTGCTGTGTATGCATCAATGTGTTAAACAATAATTGCATGCCACTGTTTTGTATCTTTAAGAAGCACTGTATTTGGGTAAGTTGCAGTGGATGATTTCACTATTGTTTACATAACGATTTTGGTCAGTAACTTGCATTAAAACATATAAAACCACACTGGGGATGTGGAAGGATCGACACTGTAAATTGCAGGTAAGGCAGCAACAGAATTAACAGCAGTTAATTCTGGCTGTCACAGAGGCTCACATCTGTTGTTTGTTTTGTTTTAAAAGGACAGAATGGCAAAACTTCTGCAGAGCCTGTGTAGAGAAAGACACCCAGGTGGGAGAACACAGTCCATTCTTGTGCTTTCTACACAACAGTTAGCACATGCTTAGAAAAAAATAGGATTCATCTGTTGTCACTGGAGTCCCTTTCACAAACATATGATGTTGTTTTCATTGGTTGTGTTTTGCAGCTTATGGAGAGAATTGGAGGAGAAACAGTCATTGGGGGGAACTGTCATTCGAGGAATAAGTGGATCTTGCACATAACAGACAGGGCAGGCAGGGGGCCTCCATTCATTGTCTTCCTTGGAAAGGATTCAGCTGAGAGCTGAGGGGAGTTGTGAGGGATTTGGAGAAGAGGATAGCATGAATACGATGACTCATATGTGAAAAAGGGGGGCAGGAAGCGTCTTGTTAATGCAAGGGGGCAGGAAGCCTCTTCTTGTTATGCGTGCTAGGTCTGCTGCATGTGGTTATTCTAGTTTATAAGGGGAAGCAGAAGAAAGAAGGACTGATGACTGCAAGTATAAACCAACAGAAAGGATTATTTTGAAAAGACACTGAGGAACTGTAGCGAGCACGCTGAAGCCTCTACCCATTCAGGCCTCCAGGAGTGCTCACTCTTCTTCAGTTGCTGCCACCAGTTTTATCCAATATTTTTAAAAAAACAATCGTTTCAAAACAAAAATGTGTTTATTGGTTTAACAAAATGAAGTAAATAGATCACAAGATGTTAATCAAGGTCTCTCACTCACTGACACACACAGACTCTTCCCTCACTGACTGTTTGGCTCACAGGCCCATAGACACACTCATCACTAACTCTCACAAAATCTCTTTCTCACTCTTTCTCCCCTCTTTACATCATACACCCCTTTATATATTCCAGCTCCTCCCCCTTCTGCACCACCTTCCGTCCCCTCATTGGCTGATGTTCCACTGCCCAACTGTGACGGACAGGTGAGGGCAGGACTGAATGCTACAGGAACCAGTGCCATGGAACCAGTGAATATTATACAAGCAACTAAGGTGACAGGCTGGCTATGAGCAGAAGAGCTTGGGCTTTCGGCCAGAATCCTATTGCTGATTTACATTTGCATAAGGGGGTTGTAGCAACATGACTTTGACCCGACTCCAGGAGGCAGTGGAAGATAGGAGGGCCTGACGTGCTCTGGTCCATGGGGTCACAAAGAGTTGGACACGACTAAACAACTAAACAACAACAAGGGGGTTGCACTATCAAACTGTAGAGTCGGACACGACTGAACAACAACAAGGGGGTTGCACTGATATCAAACTGCCACCTTTACTGAGGTGCTGGTTGCAATTCTGGAATCAGAACTTTGTTTTACGATCCTCAAGGAGATCAGTGTGATAAACACCCCATCTTGCAGTTTCTTAGAGGCCATGGTCAGATCACCACCTACCGTTAAATCCCAGGAAGATCTCTTTTTCATTGCCTAGTCAGATAAAATGCACTATCAAAGAAGGGGACAACACAGATTTGCACTAAATATGCATACTCTTGTGTACAGACAGACAGACAGACAGACATAATAGATATATATACAGTACAGTATATCACTCTAGCTTAAGTAGGTGATGAAAAATAACTCAATAGTCTATAAGTGTCACAAAAAATAAAAAATAACAGTTGTCTGCTGTTTTTAGTAGCTTTAAAAGATGCTAGTGAGCAAATGTATTTCTGTGCATGCTAAGACTCAGCTCTTGCATCTAGGAAAAAGTAAAGTAGGAAAAACAAACAGCCTTCTTCATCCCATCCAAAGTGTCACTATTATGAAGCCTTGCCAAATTTCCATGGAAGGATTGTCCATAAAAGATAAAGCTTGTCAGCAGGAAAAAGACATCCTCAGCTCTGATCCTGGAAATCTTGGGTCTGCTTTCGCAGTCTCAGTCCCTCATTCTCCTCTTCCTTTGACATCTCTTTCTGTGGTTGAAAGCATCTGCAGCAGTATTCTTGCATGCTGTCAGCCAGGGCAGCATAGACCAATGGATGGATGCAAATATGGAAGTGGACTAAGATCTTGGCCGCCTGGTAGAAGTAGTAGACAAGTGAGATACATTTTCCAGACATAAGATTGTAAAGGTTCAGGTTGCGTAAGGCATGGAAGGGGAGATAGATAAGGGCATAGAGAACCACCACTACCAAAACCAATGTCTTCACTTTGCGCTTTTCCTCTGCGGTGAGACTCTGACTTTGGATGACTCTGCAGACGATGGCCATGCAGGAAAAGGCGGTAAGGATGAACGGCAGCCCACATCCAAAAGCTGCTAGAAACAAGCTATAAGGCCAGTAACTGGGCAGGTCCAAGAAGATGGCACTTCCTATACAGTACGTTGTTGAGGTGTTCTTTATCATTATATGCTTCAGGGTGGAAAAATGGAGGACTGGTGCTGAGATAGCTATCACCAGCAACCATACTACCCCACTGACAAGTTTGGCATGGCGGGCTTCTATGCGGCCATGGGCAAAGAAAGGATGAACGATGGCAACATAGCGGTTCAGGCTAATGCAGGCGACAAAGAAGGTGCTGCCATAAAGGTTGCAGAAGAAGAAGAAACGGTCCAGCTTACAGAAAACTGAGCCGTATTTCCAGTCCTTGGGAGGGTAATAATAAGCGGCCATGGGCAACAAGGAGAAGGCATAAAGAGTGTCACTGATGGCTAGGTTGAAGGCGTAGACAATGCCGGTATGCCACATGCGCTCATGAACCACAAAGCGGTAGATGGCAAAGCCATTCCCAGCAATAGCCACAATGAACTGAAGAATCAAGAGGAACCATATACGTTCTTGGGACTTGTCCCATTCGTCTCCGCAGCTTGTGTTCTGGCGGTCCGACCCCATAGGCACCGTCCTGGAGAAGCATGGAGATTAAGATTAGAAACCCAAGATCTTTATGCCAAGTTGTGCGCTCACACCTAGCCACTGGGAAAGTAGTAGCTGGGAGCTGCTCATCAAAGACTTAATTCTACCATTAGCTTTCAAATAAAATAATTTGGTCTAGATTTTTTTTTTGTTTACTGTCAAGACCAATAGAGCTACACTATAGTGGCATCACTGCTTCTAGTATTCCTAGAATCATGGAGTTGGAAGAGGTCAATAAGGCTACTGAGTTCTCCAGGTCAATTCAGGAATACAAATAAAAGTCTACCTGACAGATGGCTGTCTAAATTTCCCTTGAATGCCTCCAACGCTCACCACCTCCTGAGGTACAGTGGTGCCTCACTTAGCGATTACCTCGTTTAACGATGTATTCCCTTAGCGATGAGGTTTTTTGCTCCGTTTAGCAATGTTTCAAATGGGGGAATTTCGCATAGCGATGTTTGGGACCTTGCTTTGCTTAGTGATGACAGTTTAGGTCCCCCCTGTTTCGCTTAGCGATGTTTTTGACAGCTCTGTTTTTGCTATTTTTAAAAGGTGTTAAATTGTTTTAAAAAGGTTTAGAGTGCTTGAAATTGTTAGTGCACTTAATAAACCCTTTGTTAACCAAATTTGGCTTCGTTCTGACTCTTTTTGAATTTTTGGTGATTTTTTTTCTCCCCCATTGAAATGCATTGAAAAGGTTTCAATGCATTCCAATGGGGGAACCACGTTTCGCTTAGTGATGTTTCCTATGGCAATTTTCGCTTAAGGATGGCAATCCATTCCCATTGGAACGGATTATCCGGGTTTCAATGCACCTCTATGGGAAAATGCATTTCGCGTAGCGATGTTTTCCCATAGCGATGAATTTTTAAGAACCAAGTAAAATCGTTAAGCGAGGCACCACTGTAATTGTTTCCACTATCATACTGGCTTCCTGTAACTTGAGCCCATTGCCACGTATCCTGCACCCTGGGATAACCGAGAACAAATCCTGCCCCTCCTCTATATGACTATATTTCAACTTTTAGAAAAGTGCTATCCTATTGATCCCCTCAGTCTTCTTTTCTCCACACTAAACATGTCCAGTTCGTTCAGTCTTTCCTCCTAGGGCCTGGTTTCCAATCCAAGTTGGAAAGGCGTGCCGAATGGACTAGGTCAATATGTTTGGAGGTGGGGGTGGAATGATTATGATTCTGTTCTAGCTTTCCCTGCAGGTACTATAAAGAGAAAAAGAAGCTAGAGTGACGTATGGATCAGGAGGAAATGAGACTGGAAATCTTATTTGGTATGTAAAAGAAGGATGCACACACCTTAACATGGTAAGAGGGGTTAGAGTGTGTCAGTGCAGCCAAGAGCAACGCCATCAGGACGTTAGACTCCATTACAAGCCTGGACTTCTAGCAGGATCGTCCACGGTGGAATGGTCCCAGCTGAGGCACCCCGACTAAGAGGCATCCATCCTCATCGGGAGTAATGGCCACAACAGCATAAGAGAACGGAGAGAGGTCCAGTGGTGATGGGGGACGTAGAAACTCCTCGAAAGGCAGCTACTAGGCTGCAATAACTGTTTCAGGAAACACAGGCAGAGGAGCTTCCAAACAACAGCAGTGTTTTCTTACAACTGGGCACAGCAACAGACCTGGTGTGACTAGAGACAAAGGAAGGGTGTGCGTCAAGAGAAACGCTGCCCCTTCCATGGCCTCTGCAGTTCTTTCGCAAGTTGAGCCCTAGCATTAAACACAATGAAGCAGCAACCCCAGACAGCGCTATATCTTCAGCACTGCAAGAAACTGGGATGCATAAGAGAGGAGCCCCCACTGTGTTTTCTCTGCTCACTGTGCTTCTCTGTGCGATGCCAGCTCGCCACCCAGTTTTAGAAATCAAGATCGGACTGTATTTCTGGCATGTCAAGGTGAACAGCAAGCGTTTATGAGGCATATCACTTGGGTGGGAGTTAAATCTATGCCTTATCCCACCTGGCCAACCACAGAAAAATCCAGTCCTGCTCCCATCCACAAAACCATGTGTGTTGGTTTTGTTTCTTGGCTGTATTAGATTCGGCCCGTCTATATAAGGAAGTGACTTTTAAATGTAACGAAACCTGAAACAGATCCTCTGAAGTCAAACTGCTTGTGCAACAGGGCTGTAGTGTGACCACTTTGACACCTTCACCCCTTGCACAAGAAAGCATATTTCTTTGGGTAAGCAGAAGTTGGGCTTTCTGGAGAGCGGCTGTCACTTGCACAACTCTTAGCCAAGCAGTACATTCCTCTGCAGCTGGGCCAGGTGGAGGGGTGGAAGCTCAGTAAGACTTTGGTCTATGTATCTCCGCATACGCACATTCAAAGATTTCGACTTACAGGATCTTACACTTTTTTTCTTGTCTCAAAGATATTTTGAGGTAGGCTTTCCCCCAGTTTCACTTTCTGAAGCCATTATTCCTATCCTTCCCCAGAACAAATAATTATCAAAATAATCATTTAGGTGTGCAAGTAAATCATTTGTTCTGGGTGTGTAGTCCAGAAAAGTAACTTATCCAAGTTTCCACATTTCAGAGATGTGGAAAAATTTCCTATGCAATTTTTTTCTGTGAAAAATTTTCCGCCCCGTATATGTCTGCATACCTGTCCAGCTTGTTGCACTGTGGACAGTTCAATGGACGACATACATCCATGCAAGTTATTCTAAGAAGACCAGCACTAACAAACGAACACTCAACTGCTAAGGGGAAATTGAAAAATAACTTACGACAACCTCTTCCTGTGCACAATGCAGCTTCTATCTGGATCAGATATACACATGGCGTTTATTCGTCCTCAAGAGACTTAACAAATTGATGCATGGGTAACCTTGTTTCTATTTCACAAAATCTGTTCTTTCTCAATCAGTTGCAAGTACTGGGACTCTAGACGAAATGTGATAAGCTGGCTGTGCCCACGGAGTCACATCCACCTTTGAGTGAACCTTAGAATGTTCAACCAGTTGTATGGAATAAGATTATTTTTTTCTCTCAGCTTGAAATGGGACTGAAAAGTAGTGCAGACAGTGAAGGAGGAAAGCTGAAGGTACTATATGTCAGTAAAAGATAATTAAATTGTTGATACAAGAGGCAGGATTGTTTCAATTATAGTCAGTTTTTGTTAAATATAAGGGAAATATACGCTACTGTCTTTACATTATTTATAAGTATTTCAATAAACTACTTTTCATATAAAACTTTGAATGTGTTTGCATTTAAACCATGCATGCTACGGCAGATAACATTATTAGAGCACAGGAATATCTTTCAGATCTATATTTTTCAGGGGGAAAAACATTCCTTGCTTTGGTTGTTGTGGGTTTTTCGGGCTCTTTGGCCGTGTTCTGAAGGTTGTTCTTCCTGACGTTTCGCTAGTTTCTGTGGCCGGCATCAGGTTGCTGTCCTCTGAAGATGCCGGCCACAGAGATGGCAACACATCAGGAAGAACAACCTTCAGAACACGGCCAAAGAGCCTGAAAAACCCACAACAACCATTAGATCCCGGCCATGAAAGCCTTCACGAATACATTCCTTGCTTTGCTTTTCAGATTATAAACAATGCATCCACAACAACCCTGAAAACACAGCTAGCTACCTTCAGACAGTCATTTGGCTTTCTAGTCAGGTTGCACTGCTATGTTTACTTGCTCCACGTACGGTTTGAGTCCTTGATATTTGTCCATAGCTCTGTTTGAAAGTATCCATAGCCTCTGGGATCTACATGGTTAAAACTAAACACATTACTTTCTTAATTTCACACCCCACCCCCGGCAGTCTCCAGCATTGGTATTCCTTTTCTGGTTCTTAAAAGAAACATGCATCCCTCTACACTGCCTGAAAGTTTGAAAAAAATATAAATCAAAAATTTTCATTCATTCAGATAGTCACCATTTTAAATAATGTGTTTATTTTTAAATACTGTATCTATATCTACATCTATTTGTCTGTATCTATTTGTCTGTATATGTGTGTGTGTACACACACACACAGTATGTGTATATATAGACATATAGATATATAGATACACACACACGTTTTGTATACATACACTTTTTAAATGTTTGCTTTTACACTACGTCAAGTGGTCTGAATTTGTGTTTTGTGGACAACACTGCTACAATTGTAATATATATAGTTATTACTAGAGCAGACATTTAAAATATGATTAAATATTTTACACATGAACACAAGATAAATTGCAGAGGTCATGGGTTAACTGACAAGGTGCGGGGCACACAATTGTCAACTCATCAAGTGGCCATGGCAGCCTCCATTATTGTTCTTGTACAGGTATAAAAAATATTCAATATCAGTCAAATTCTGGCCAATAATTTCCAACTTTCTACTGAACTCAAGCTCTAGAGGGAAATGGGTTGTTAAAACAAAACCAAAAACAGGAACTCTTTATACATACCTCTAATCCAACGTCTCTTCTTTTGTTGTAAAGGCACACAGCGCGATTTTTCTGCTCTTGCTAGAAAAGCTGCAAAGTCCGTAACGAACACAGAGAAGACAACATAGAGAACCGTGCTCAAACTGTGGTTGCAAAATTTAATGTGCAGTAGACGGGGACTGTGCCACCAGGAGCTACCCTTTCTTATAGATAGCACGTGATCACAGGCTTAGTCTATGACTAAGGAGCTAGAACTCAAATACCATAACCCACACATCGACTCTGAATACTTCCCTTCCCTTGAGAAACAGATGAAGTACCGAGAAGCATGTGTGTATGTGTAGAGAATGACGCAGCTACAAAAATGCATAAATCCTGAGACGGCACATTGAAAAGGGAGTTTTGGGAAGTACAACTCCCAGAACCTTTGCGCCATACTGTTATCACCAAGATCTAATTCCTGACCAGCAAGAAAGTGGTTTCTGTGAAGCCCCAATCCCAGAAGCATCAAGGGGAGCCATGCCTGAAATCCCCAGAGAACTGGACCTTCATGTCACAAAACAATGTAGCTTTTCATACCAGTTGTCTATTCACTGGGTAAGGGCTGTTGGCTTCACGCTTTGGCGTGTAGGCTTCTCCAAGCAGCCCACAGACCCAAGACAGATCTGCTTGCTTCTATTAATTAGACTGCTGTTATCTACCAAGTCCGGACAGAAAGAAACTTCAGAAGTTTCAGAACTCCAGTTCAGAAGGCATCGTCTGAATTTCAGAACATACCTCCTCTCAAATGGACAAAATCTAGAGGCATATAATCCTGACTCCCCCCCCCCATTGTAACCTGGAAGGGTCAACTTGATGAGCAGAAGTGCCACTTTCCAGAGGACAACATAAGGGGGAAGTTAGCATTGATTCTAACCACATCTATATTCGCGAAGGCTTTCACGGCTGGGATCTAATGGTTGTTGTGGGTTTTTCGGGCCCTTTGGCCATGTTCTGAAGGTTGTTCCTCCTAACATTTCGCCAGTCTCTGTGGCCGGCATCTTCAGAGGACAGCACTCTGTGCTCTGGTGTAGTTGACTTGGGAGTGGCAGTATTTATGGCTGTGAGATAGGCTTTTGTCTTTTTCTGTAGATGGGTGATTAGTGTGTCTTGTTGTGGGTGTATTGTTGTGCTAAGGAGAAGAGATTATCTGTCACTGTGGTTGATGGGTGTCGTTAGCTGGTCTTTTGTGTGTAGTAATCCCCTGTCCTTGTGGCTGGGTAGAGTTCGTTGACCTTTTCACACTGTATTTTTGAGAGCTGGGAGCCAAGTTTTGTTGAGTTTCACACTTTCCTCTTTTTTGTTGAAGTTTTGCTGGCCATCAGCTCCCCAACATATGAATTAGCCAAATACCTAGCCACCCACCTACAGACCCACATTGGACAAACCTCATCCTACATCAAAGACTCAGGACATTTCATAAGCAAGATCAGCACCCTAAAACTCAACCCTGGGGACAAACTGATCAGCTTTGATGTAGAATCCTTGTTCACTAAGGTACCAATAAAGGACACCCTGACACTCATCCAGCAGATATTTCCAGAAGACATCAAGGCCCTCTTCCAACACTGCCTAACGACCAGCTGTTTCCAGTGGGATAATGAATTCTATGAACAGACATGGAGTGGCCATGGGCAGCCCCCTCAGCCCGGTTATAGCAAACTTCTACATGGAGCATTTTGAAAAACTTGCCCTGGCTTCGGCACCCCTTGCACCCACAGTCTGGTTCCAATTCGTGGATGACATCTTTGCAATTTGGAGTCACGGTGAAGAAAAAATTCTCAACCATCTCAACAACATCCACCCAAATACAGTGGTGCCTCGCATAGTGATTGCATCGTATAACGATGAAATCGCTTTGCGATGAAGATTTTGCGATCGCTTTTGCGATCAACTGAAGAAGAAAAACAGCCACCCACAAATAAAGGATTTCTGACGTACATCAAACGGGTCACGGACCGCATGGGGAAATTCTGAAAAAAACACAACCTACAACAGTATTCAAGCCCACCACAAAAATACAACAAATGTTACAGTCGGCAAAGGACAGAAGGGACCCCCTCACCACTGCAGGAGTATACCGGATACCTTGCAGTTGTGGCCAGGTATATATTGGAACTACAAAACGAAGCATCCACACCAGAATCAAAGAACATGAGAGACACTGCAGACTAAAACAACCAGAAAAATCTGCAGTAGCTGAACATGCCCTGAAACAAACTGGACATGAAATTCTATTTCAAAATACTGAAACATTGGACAACACCAGCAATCATTATGTCAGACTGCACAGGGAAGCCATTGAAATCCACAAGCACCAGCAAAACTTCAACAAAAAAAGAGGAAAGTATGAAGCTCAACAAAACTTGGCTCCCAGCTCTCAAAAATACAGTGTGCAAAAGGTCAACGAACTCTACCCAGCCACAAGGACCGGTGATCACTACACACAAAAGACCAGCTAAGGACACCTATCAACCACAGTGACAGATAATCTCTTCTCCTTATCACAACAATACAACCACAAGATACACTAATCACCCATCTACAAAAAAAAGACAAAAGGCTATCTCACAGCCATAAATACTGCCACTCCCAAGCCAACTACACCAGAGCACAGAGTGCTGTCCTCTGAAGATGCCGGCCACAGAGACTGGCTAAACGTTAGGAAGTACAACCTTCAGAACATGGCCAAAGAGCCCGAAAAACCCACAACAACCATCTAACCACATCCTCAATCCAGCCAGCCTGGCAATCAGCTCCGATGATGGTGGCTGGTGGTAGATGTGACAGAAGAACCTTAGTTCATAAGAGAAACCAAATATGGCTCAAAGAACTTGATGTCACACTCATCTATTTGCCGGTAACGCCTCCTGGCTAGTACTGGAACCTTAGTTAAAGTTAAAACAGCTTTGCATGCATGCATCTACCACATGTAGAAATGGTGGCTGGTGGTAGATGTGACAGAAGAACCTTAGTTCATAAGAGAAACCTAATATGGATCAAAGAACTTGATGTCGCACTCATCTATTTGCCGGTAACGCCTCCTGGCTAGGGCTGGAACCTTAGTTAAAGTTAAAACAGCTCCGGGAGGCAGTAGAAGACAGGAGGGCCTGGCGTGCTCTGGTCCATGGGGTCACGAAGAGTCGGACACGACTAAACGACTAAACACAAAACAGCTTTGCATGCATGCTTCTACCACATGTAGAAACAGTACAAGACATTCCATTTGTACAACAGTACAAGACATTCTTGCAGGCTTCATTTCATTAAAAAGGAAGTTTTCAACTCCGTCAAAGTACATCTGAAAGTATGACAATAATGCCTAGTGCCCAGAGGTTGATTTTTTAAAAATGCTATACAGTCACAATGGATTTTTAACACCAGGTGATTTTCAGTGTTTGTTCTCCCTGGGTTACAATTTAAAAAAAACACGTTAGGTCTCTGAAATTCTGGAGTTAATAATGGGAATCTAAATGTCTGTTATTTTTCCTCTCATCCTATTTTTTCAATCTCTCTTCAGAAAAGCAGTCAAATCTACCTAAAATCTTATACCTCATTTTAAAGTTAAAAAAAATCTTAGTGTTGTGACCGAGGAGTGACTTAATAACGTTCTGTATAAAGATCTGCAATCTGAAACTTGTAGTGGGCAGGGGTGGAGGTGGAAGTGGTTGATTCCTGCTCAGCCTGTAGAGGCTCTCAAAGACTTTGGAGAAAAAGTATTCCATAGGCTGGGTTCAAGCCTGCAGCTGGTCTTGAACCCGTCATCTCTAGGGAGTCAGATGGAAATTCACTCGATGTACTACACAGACCAACGCTGATGTGAAGACATTTAGGTTAGCCCAGTCAGGTCAGGTCAGGTCTTTCTGACTCCTATAAAATCTCTTTGTGACTTGAAGAATTTTGAGCTTGTTAAGTAAAAACATTGCAGGCATTTTCAATTTTTTAAAGAAATTAATGAGTTGTGCATTTTTAAATAAAGATCTCTTTGCAGTCATGCCAGAGACTTCCCTCTCCCTGCTCTGAAACGGAAGGCCAGCTTTCTCATTTCCCCAGAGCTGTATATTCTGTCTAGACGTGTTTTAGATGGGAGCCTGCCGACAAAGCAAGACACAAATAATTTGATTCTTCTCTGCATCTATTGTCAGAATTAATTCCTGCTATGGTGGGGTGTTTTTTTAACCCTTGTCCAGTTTACAGCTGATCAGTGAGACAGCTAGAATAGCCTGCCATATCACAATAGAACTGGACAGTTATGTTAGAGTTTGTTGTTTTTCAGCAGAACTAATAGTAAATAATGGCTTTGGAAGCAAAGAAGGCTTTTCTAAATCACATGAAATATTCAGGAGGCAGAAGTACTAGGAGGATCCAAGCCAGGATTAATGTCTGGGAACCAAAATGGTGTCTGTACAGCAGCTAATTGACAAAAAGCCAGGACACTTCTCAATCACACAATAAGGCACATCACTAGGCATGCAACCAAGACACACATACCCCACCAGCACCTCATCAATTAACTGCAGCAGGTTACACCATCCTTAGGGTGATCACCAATAGGATTCTGACCCATATGTTTTCAGGTCCCACTGACCAGAAAGGAGTTGACTACATGCTCTCCTGTTCCATCATGTGCTGGCTAGATCATGATTAGCCAATGGTTATTAGACTGTGTACAGTTTGAGATTTAAGGGACAGTTTCATTTTACTGAAAAAATGTTATGGTCTAGAGCGCTGGACTGGAACTTGGCAGATACCAAATTTCAGAGCCATCACTCTCTGGTTAAACTTGAGTTGATCATTCCCAGTGTGGCCTCTCATGCAGTTGTTGCAAAAATATACTGAGGAAAGGATGCCATCTTGAGCTCGCTGCAGGAAATACATACAGGGTATAAAGGTATGTTCTGTTTAATTTCTTTACTGGGAAATTATCTATCTTAAAAGAACTGGGAACGTGTTAGATTAAAAAAGTTGTTTGATTACAATTCCCATTGTTCCTGTTGAGCTGATGGGAACTGAATCCAACATCTGGAGGGGAAGTTTCCCTACTCCTTGTAAAAGTTTGTCACACATGGAACTTAGATGCTATCACATAAGCAGAATTTGGTTGCATTTTTAATCTGTTACACTTTCTAGGAGGCTAGACAAGCACTCATCCAGACTTTTAGGAACATTCTGGGAATTGGTAACCAAAACTGGTAAGGTGAACAGTCTGTTCAACCGATAAAATGCCTTGTGAATCACTAAAGCACGTTTTAACCATGAAGCCAGTAGTTATCAGGAATGGTTGGAACTGGCTGAGGGGTGATTGAATTGAGTAAGAAACATCCTTCTGGGATGATGTTTTGACAGCTCCTTTGTAAGACCTGGACAAACTCGATCTTGATTTTTGATCATTCTCTTTAAGGCCTCAGAGTTGTACCAGAAATGAAGTCTCTCATTCACATTAGGTCTCTGGAAATGGGTCTCTGCAATTCTGGATAGTTATCAATGAGAATCTAAATGTCTGTTATTTTTCCTCTCATCCTATTTTTTCAATCTCTCTTCAGAAAAGCAGTCAAATCTACCTAAAATCTTACAGGAGCTCATTTTAAAGTTCTCTTACAATCCTGCCGAGCTTTGTCACTGTGGCTTCATTTAATGCATGAAATGAGCCCAATGTTTCCTTCTAAGATTTGTCTTAGCCATAAGAACGATCCAAGCTTCTTCTTAAAATGTTTTCAAAAGTCAAAGATCTCATAACATCAAACATGGTCACAACTAGGTAGCCTGTAAAGTCGCTACACCCCACAAAGAGTGTTTGCTTTCAAGAAGGTAAGTCAAAAGATGGAGAACTTGTGACCCACAAATGTTGCTGCCACCATACCTCTTTGCTTCTAAAGTGAATGTCCCTCCATGGCCCACTTCCCCTCTCCCAGCTGATAAACGTGTGAAGGTGTGAAATCAAACTTGTGATTTCCCTGTCCACAATGGACCAAACAATGACTTCCTAAAAGAGCTCCAGGATGGAGAAAGCCAAAAGGAGTTACAACAGTAACAGGATTGCTCCTCTCCATGTTTGCCTAGGTCTACCTCAAGCAGGAAAGTTCTCCTTCCACTGTTCCACATGCACTTCAACCTGCCTCTTCTTTACCTTCTTTATTGATATCCCTCTTCTCCCCCTCCCCACAAAAAAGAGGCACTCAAAGCATTCAAACGGACATGGTCAGCCAGCAGTACCCACTAATAAGTCAATCCCACAGAGACTGCCCTGGGGGGTCTCTGCTGTTTCTGATGTGCAACGTAGTGGGGAAGCTACACACGCCAGAAAAGAAAGACAGAGAGGCAAGCACAACAGAGAGTCTGTATATTTTGCTAAACAGCCAGTACAAAACAAGAGCAAGTGAGAGGGGGCCCCCAAACCCTACGTTTGCCTTTTCTTCCCCGAACGCCCCACTTTTCTCAAGGCTCCTTTTCCTTTCTGCGCCTGCTTCCGTCCCAGTCCGGATTTTCCCTGCCATCGACTGCCAAACAGTCTTGATCCAGGCTGACGCTTAACTCTGCGCTGCCCGGAGGCTTGTGGCCGCTTCTGCCTGGTGTTCTGTGGCCTTGTGGGCTGCCTCGTGAGGTTACGAGTGTCTCTCTGATGCTGAGGAGAGTCCCTTCGCCCAGTCTGTGGAGTCTTCCTATGTTTCATCTTCTTGTTGGTTCTCAGAAGGGCTGGGCTCCGATCCCCTGCAGATTGGGCACGTCTGGGCCTCTTGCTGGGCCTGGCAGACTGGCTCGGCCGTTTCCTCTTACCGCTTTGTGGGAATAGATCTAGAGAAAGTAGATCCAACAAGCAAGACCAAATCAACAGGAGGAAGGCAAGGCACAACAGCCACAACCCCAGAGGTGTTTTCCTTGGAATCTCAATGGTGCCTAAGGCAGCAAAGGGCTTTCAAGACTGCAGGTCTCCAGAAACTGAGCTGGAACCCACAGAAAGTTAAAGACAAAGAGCTCCAGGAGGGGTGATGGCTGTGTTGATCACAAAGGAGGAACGCTGGGAAGCTTGCGACTGGTCCCACAGCAGTAAGAAAAGCCGCTCCTGCCAAAACTCCCCCTGCTATACTAGTGTCAGGAGAAAACGGGGAACATCTGGTCTCCCGGGTGTGTCTGGACTACAACTCCCACCCTCTCTCACCACTGGCTGTGTTGCCTAGGCTGACAGGGGAACGACCTGGAAGGCTAAAGGTTCCCCAGCTCTGTGTCTAAGGGGCAAAAGCCAGGCCCTCCTCCTGTGCCTCTGGCCTGCCTGGAGAGAGGAAAAGGAGGAGCGGTGGGTGTACAAGGGGCTCAACATCCAGCACAGGGCAACCCTGTCACGAAGGCTGCTTCGGAGCAGATAGGGGGTGGGGTGGGGGACAAGCAACCTAACCATGATTTATGGCTCATACTAAGCTTGGACACTGTATGGCCGAGGGGCTGAGGTCCTCCCCCAGGCTTAACACATCAGAGCATTTATTCTGGAGGAATCACAGCTCCTGCTGAGGAGCCCAACTGCTTCCATCAATTGCATCCAGAAGGTGACGCCCCCCTTCTCCTTGGTCAATTTAAGAACACAAACACTACACAACAAGGCACCCACCTTCGTCTGGCTCTTCTCCCACCTCCTGCCGGTAATATTCCACGTCGTCGTCTGATGGCTCTTCAGCATTGGCGTCCTCCTGCATCCCAGGATCCTCTGCATCGCTATCGCCTCCTTCCATCTGCTGCTGCTTTCTCTTCATCCCTTCTAGGCTCTTCTTCCTGCAGCCCCCAACCAAGCAAAATGGTCACCCAGGGACAAGGCAACCCCCCCCCAACCTCCCTTAGGCAAAGCACGACGGACCTCTCTCAGTTCCCGCTGCTGAGACGGGACCTTCGCAGAGGCCGATTCTGACTCTTTTTCTCCCCTCACCTGTGAGCCTCTTTCAGTTCTTGCTTGCGCCCCACGTTCGCCTCCTGCTTGCGGCGTCGCTCGGCTTTGAGCTGCAGCTTTGCTTCTTTCCTGGCCAGGACTTGTCGGATCTCTTCTGGTGTCTTGTGAACTGCGGAAAGGGGAGGAGAGGGCAAAGAGCAAGCCATGAAAAGGCAGCCGAAAAGTATGAAACCCCTGAGGGCAAGAATCACAAAACCTGAGCAGACCATTCACGCCCTCAGTATTTGGCGGAGCAGCACTGGGAGTGCTCACATCTACCACTAGCTTTGCTACATCCACCACTTACGTAAGAGATCAAGGATCTCCTAAATAGGGGGTGAAATCCAAGAAGAAATACTGACAGCAAATTCACACCCTACCCCCCCCACTGGAGAGCCTTACTTCTGCAGTTCCAAGAAAGAGAACAGCCAAAAGAACGAAAAAAAGAAAGAGAGAGAGAGAGAGAAAGAGAGAGAGAGAGAGAGAGAAAGAAAGAAAGAAAGAAAGACTCAGTATTGATGAAGATTCCAAGACTGTACTGGATTTGAAAATTATGCAGACTTAGTTTACACAACCACTTACCTCGTGCCGTGGGGCATGAGAATCAGATCAACCAACTCCAGCTAATGCAATTCTCTATTTATTTTAGCACTCCCTGCCACCTTTCAGAGACATAAAAACCAAATTTCTACCAAAGAGCCAAGATACTCACTGAAGCTGTGATAGAGCACATTGCCCTGGCCTAACCCTTCCTCCACCTTGACAAGCTGCAGCGTCATTCGAGGGCCTATCTGGATAGGGAGAAAAACAATAACCGAGGATCCGTGAGGAGAGAAAAGGGGGTAGTGCAGAAAGAAAGCCAGATTGCTGCTATCCACAAGCCACCCCAGGGCCAGATGACTAGAACACTTCCATCTTGAAGATCAGCAACTTCAAGAGGTTGGGTCTTCTGTCATACTTGGGAGAGCCCAAAGCTATGCCTGCCCCTTCACCCCCCCATTTCAAAGTCACAGGGTCCCCTGAAACCGACCTCCGTGAGGCGGACTGCACTCTGCTGAGCCTTCATGTTCCCACGGCCGGCATAGGCTTGTGGCAGCTCCATGATGTTGTGACTTCCGTCCTGCTCTGCTTCACTCTCAGAGAGGTTAATGTCTCTGCAGGGTAGGGAAGGAAGTGGAACATATCACTGCCGCCATCTTGGGCATGCCAACGAAACAGCCAAGTGTTAGGACACAAATCGAAGCAGGAGACGCAGGCCCTGCCCTCGGGCTTGCAATCGAAGGGAAGGGGAGCGAGGGAGAAAACAGGCCTGAAGTAAGAGGATACACAGATAAACAGAAGTAAGGGAAAGAAGACTGGATGCTCAATGATTTGAAAAGGAAGAAAGAGAAAAGGCAGTCAGGACAGGGATAGGAGAGGATTACAGGAACCATGCTGGATGGTGCAAAAAAGCACGCTCCTGCCTCCCTTGTCCCTTCCCACCTCATTCCTAAGAAAGCCAGAAAACCTCTGGGAAGAACCTGCTCATGCTGCTCCAGTGACTCCTGACAGAAGCGGGGAGGCCTCCCTGCCTCTCTTTCTCCCTCACCTGACCAACAGCTCACTGATGTCCTCCAAACGGCTCATGTTGGGGAACTTCTCCTGCAGGAGCTTCTTCAGCCCTTTGCTCATTCCTACAGGCACCACTTTCAGGCTGCTGCAGGTGATAAAAGAGGAGAGGAAGCGTAGGAGGCAATTACATCAGGCAGCCAAGAACATCACTGCTGTTATTTTGAGTGACGAGGAAGGAGGGATGCTCAGTTCCTGTGACAGAGCAGAGACTCCGCATGTGTACACTGGGTCCTAACTTTGGTGGGGATGCGCCTCGTCAGAGGGTGCTGGCCCTAAGCAGCAGTTGAGCTGAGAGGGAGGGGGATAAGGGCCACCACTGTCCAACATCTGGAGGTCCACACATTTCCAATGCTCTTTGGTGGTCCATCAAGGAATGTCCCTTCTCTTCTCCCTGCAGCTTTCACAAGACCCTACAGGCATCATCAGATGGATTTAATCTAAAAAGTATCACAACACAAGATGCACTTACATCTCACTTGAAAGAAGAACTATCTTATCCCTCCCCCAGTATATGTGAATTTTAAGCCACATCTCCTTAAATAGATATAGTATTACACACAGAGGAAGAACCTAATCTAGAAATATTAATGGTCAAATGCAGGAGTGGGTCTGAGGATCCTGGCTTCATCCAAGGAAGTACACCACTGCCTGTCTGTTACCTAATGCTCTGGCCCCCAATAAAACCGACATTGTGATATATGAGAAAAGGAGGTGGCTGAAATGCTTTGCAAACTCCAAATCACTGGAAAAGTTGCCGGGATGAAGAAGAGAATTTTGAGCACAATACACGGCACTGCTCTTGCCCTCTCCCCTCCATACAGCTCTCTTAGCTGAAATTAGCTTGGATGCATCAGAGCGTTTACTTCAGAATAAGATCAGAGACATCAGCAGATTATACTCTCATCATATGCATCCAGTTCAATTCTTGGCTGGCCATCTTCCTACAGTATTCCTGTGTCCAGATGCAGTCTCTCGGGGTGGAAGTGCCCAAGCAGGGCAGCGAACAAGGTGAGGCTTGAACCAAGGTTGCAATCGCAGTTTGGCTGCCAAGCTCTGTAAATCACCTTGTAGAACTGTTGCAAGGAATGGGATAAACCCTGAATGATGCTGGGTTTTGCTCTTTGTTATGCATCATCAATTCACACTCATAGTAACTCTATTGGAGCTTTCAAAGTATTTAAGGATATTTACTGTAAGCAGCAGTTTTACCAATGCCACCTGCACCCCCCCTACGTGCTCCGTGGCAAGGAGGGATTCAAACTCAGGTCAGCTGAATCCTAATCTGCCATTGCACAGAACTGTTTCTCTTGTAGTAGATCATCAAAAAACAATACTTTTTTTTAAAAAAGCCACAATCACACAACGGATATTATCCCTGACTGTGCAATAGTACACTGTAAAATAGTGGGCATTCTGAGAAATATGACAACATGCAAAATTAAGAATACATAATGCAGGCAAACAGGTCAGAAATGAACCCCTGCCATTTGAGACCAAATGGAACATCTTATGAAAATGGCCTTGGATCGATCATGCCACCTTCTCATACAAGTCAAGACAGACGGTGCCGTAAGTTCGCACACACGAGCAGTAGGAAAACCCACAACACTAGGCTGCAAACACTCACTAGTGACGGAATTCAAGGTGCTGGGTGTCTGGGTTGTAATTGATCAGTACGCAGCGCTTGATGGAATTAAGGTTTACCTAGAAAGGCAAGTAGGAGAGAAGAGACAACCACACATTATGAGAATTAAGGCTGACCACAGGCCTTACATCCTTCAGCTACCAAACACTTTAGGTAATCTTTGGGAGCCTCCAGTTGATCTACTAGAGACCCCAAACCACCAACAGCCCTTATGGAACTCAGGAGTCCTCATATCTCAGTTGCTTAATCCAGTTTACCAACTCAGTTATCCTGAATTCATGGCTAATTAAACAAAAATTTAACCCAGGCACACAAACTTATACCTCTTTTTCTTCTGTCTCTATCCTCCTTTGCACCGTTATTGGCAAGTGTAAAAAGAAGACAGTATCTGACCTTGGAAACCTGCATTTAAGTCCTGACTTGGGTCACGAAAATAGACTGCAAAGCCTTGAACAAAACTCAGCTTCATTTCCTGACTCTTAAAACTACCACCGTTGACCTTCAACCAGGAGAGACGGTGCTTGCCCAGAAGTGCTCTTACCATTGATTCCACAACACCCACAAGAACACTCCATAAAGAAGTAAACCAAAGGTGGACTCGTATGCTTATTTTGAAAGGCGGTATGTTTAACCCCAAAAACATGCCAGCATCCTTGCGTGTGGCCCGAAGGTTCAGAGTAGTCCCTACTACTGGCAAATTGGTCACTGTTATTTACACTGCACCTTTAAAGCTCTACCTGGTCTGACGTCTGATGCATCAGTGCGTTTACTTTGAATGAAAAATCACAGTTTTCACTCAGGAAAACACATTGTCATCATTTGCATCAGGTCGGCAGGTTAACAGAAAAGAACGTAGTTCTGCAAGGTAAATAAAGCCAAAACATGCTATAAGATGGCAAAAAGAGCTGAAGGAGGCCTTGAAAAAGGTAGCATTTCAACTAATTTTTGATTTGATTTGTCAACAACAAACGTGTTTCTGTGTAACAATGATAACATGTATATTACAGGCCACAACACTGGAAAAACACTCCAGTAAGGAAATGTCATGGAAGGATCCCTCCCTTTCTAAGGTTGTGAATACATACACACACTTCCATAGACAGGCCAAAATCCTCTTGGTTTTCATGTAAGATCTGTGTAACTCCTCTTGGCTACTTGTGGTTAACTGGTGAGGTGCCAAGACACATCTTGAATTATGCTTGGTCATGCACTCAAACTTTGCAACTGAGATGCAGCCGGGCACTTCATCAATGAGCTAAAATCAACCAAAGCAAGTTGCAACACGTGAACATCAACAGGATTCTGGCCAAAGATTAACTACACTCAATGGCCAGGTTACAACTGGGCAGTTCTGCTGATGCAATTGTTCCTATCAGCAAGACCAAAAGTATGGCAAAAGAACTTTGCAGCCACCCATGTACCCACAAAAGCTGGAAATCCTCTTGAGAAGGTTTTCCAGTGATGCAGAGGGATGCAAGGGTAAGGCAATGGAAACAAGTGGGTGTGTTCTTCTTCGATTTGGGTCCACCACATCTTAGATAAGGACATTCAGACACTAGTCTTGGTGAACCTGTGTCTGGACTAGGACAGAGCTGACACTGCGCACATATCGTGGAACTCAAGGTGCCTACAGCTACCTAAGCAGAACAGAACTGGCATCAAACCAGCCTCCATCAGTCCTCAGTTTAGACAGACACTCACCCTGTGGACATTGATGGAAGGGAACATGTTCTGAAACATCGTGGCCATGACCTTGATGTGCATGCCCTGAGTGCCAAAGTTATTGAGCACCAGAAGTGGGTGTTGGGTGAACTGCTGCTCATGCATCCGGTGTCGCTTCAGAGATGACACAACATCTTTGATGAGTGAATACTAAAATGAAAAGAAAAGCACAGAGAAATGAGACATCCCACAGAGCTATAAACCCCCAACATCCAGAAGGCATGCATTTTTATTTATATTTATTTTAAGCATAGCACAGTCACAGCTGTGCAAATATTACAAGTACAAAAAGAAAAAAGAAAAAAAAGGGAGAGAGAGTGTAGCACAGGGCAAAGAGGTTTGCCTCCTGAGCATCTCGGCTTTATTTCAGAAATACAGTGGTGCCATGCATCAGGACGTTAATTCGCTCCAGCGAAATCACTGTAGAACGAAAACGTTGTGATGAGATTTTTAAAAGCCCATAGAAACGTATTAAAACCAGATTAATGCGTTCCTAGGGGCTTCAAACTCAACGTCCAGCAAAGATCCTCCATAGCGCGGCCATTTTCACTGCCTGTGCAGCGAGGAATCTGTGCGAAAACACAGCAGGCGCCCATTTTGTTTATCCGGTGTCCATTTTGAAACCGCCTATCAGCAGGGAACCAATCATCGCAAAGTGAAATTCCCCCATAGGGAACATCGTTTTGCGATCGCAAAAAGTTTGTCATGACGCGATTTCATCATCAAACGGAGCGCCTGTCTTGCGGGGCACCACTGTACTTACATGTCAACAAAAATATGATTGAAAACATAGGAGCCCTAAAATCTCAGAAACCCAAAGAGTGGCTGAACACTCTACCTAATTGTCTGCAACCAAGGCAGGATACATTATTGCGAAATAAGCAGAGATGGACACAAACCACCAGTGCAGCCCTTTGGGCTGGTTCTGCCTTCAGATGAACAGGTAGGTCTCTGGCAGTTCCCAGTCCTGCCTCCTACAGCAGATGCCCACTCAGAGGCAGCATCTTGCTTCCCTGCCCCTCCTCCTCCTCTGTGCGCTGCCCGAGGGCACGCAATCCATTGAAGGAACAGTGATGGGGAGTGGCAGTTCCCAGCCCTGCCTCCTCCAGCAGATGTCTATCCACTTCCCTGCCCCACCTCCTCCTCTGTGTGCTGCCCGAGGGCACGCAATCCATTGAAGCAACAGTGATGGGGAGCGGGTGGCCTTTCAGGTGTTGTTTGATGGTAACTCTTATCAGCCCTCACCACCAGTTATGCTGACTAGGGCTCATGTTTTCTACCAATGCTCATATAATGCTGATGAGAAAAGCAGTAAGAAGTAAAAATCAGATATAAGCTTTCTATCCTTGCCAAATGAGAATACATGCAATTCCAGTCCCATCTTGCCTATCCTAGTGCAGAAAGTACCCTCAGTTTGTTACCTGTGTGACTCGAAAGGTCAAGGTTGGTCCACCGGGGAGACGGAATAATTTCTAAAAAGGAAAGAGACAGAGATTGAGAGAGAGAGAGCAGAAGCGTCAATTCCATGAAACAGAAGGACACCAGTGGTGGGGGAAAAGGCCTCCTATTAAAGGAATATTAGTCATGCTTTTTTTTGTCCTGCAAGGCTAGTGTTCTGCACAAACTCAATCCTGGTGCATCAGTGCGTTTACTTTGAAGTGAGAATCACAGTTTTCACTCAGCAGTCCATAATGGTCATCATCTGCATCAGGCTAACAAGCAGAGCGAATGAGAGAATTCAGTTAGACAGACAAAGCCAGCACATACTACAAGGTATGTGGTCACAGGAAATGGGTAAAAGTGTACATTAATCAACAGCAATGGCCTTTGAGCTGTGTTTGCAGTGAATGATACGAGTTTTTTGGAAGTAAAATGATCAGCACTTCCACAAAGAGAGAGGATAAGCGCCAGGCAATCCTTCCTAAAAGATTGCTTGGCCACACAATGCTATGTCTTGCAAAGCATGATCAAGAGTAGTGGACTATTTATTTATTTAAATCATTTACACACACGCCCATATTACAAGCATATAAGAGAGAGCCATATATAATAATTTAACAATCTGGTGGGAAGACTGACCATGTTCCAAATATGCTTGGTTCACGAAGGAAACAATGAGGTTCAACAGGCTTAATCAGTGCTATGTATAAAAGAACGGCATGCTCCATATTAAAAAAGCGATACAAAAATAAGAAGTAACTGAGTGGAGGCTCCACAATGTTGAAAGCACTCCTTAAAATTAAAGAGTGTGAAAACTACCAGCTTATATAAAGTGGCTGAAATCCTGTTGCTCAGCACGTCACACTAGAGGAGGCCCACTGAATCAGTGGTGAGCCAACTCCTCTAAGTTCCACTGATCCAATGGACCTAATTCTAATTATGACTTATTATGCTAAGCAACAGGATTTCAGCCAGCAGGAGCCAGGTCTTTCCTTCCCGGATGTTTTGGCCTGTAACAGCATGTCCAACAGGAAGGGGCTATAAAAATTATAGTACAAGGCATTTGGCGGGCCAGTGGTTCCCTAGCCCTGCTCTATGGAGAAGGGAACTGAGCTGCACGTTAGCCCAGTGACAAGTTAAACAATAAAAAAAAGCAAAGTCGATAAAACCGAAGCAAAATACTAGGCTTGCTGGGCAGACCAAACTGGGGGCCACCAGCTGCCACTGCTGAGCAGTTTCTCAATGTATCACTTACAAGGTTGATGGTGGCGGGGGTTTTCGTGAACACAACAAAATGGGTCACACCAAGAGGTCCTGCCACTGTCACAAAGTCTTTCAGAGAGTTCTTCTTCCGTGCCTGAAAAAAAGATGACTCCATTGTCTGGCATGCCTTGAACTCAGAACACAGGATATGGAACGTTACATTAAAATAACTACATTCACACAAGAAAAATGCTTTTTTATCAGCATCATCTGGCTTTTAAACAATGGGTGTTTATGTTTCTGTGTCCTACAAAAAACTTCATGCTACTCCTTATGATTTACACACCCTAATTATGTCCTCCCCCTCCCACCTTCTCTTTCCCCTACATCCTTCATGTAACACACTGCAATTCTTCCAATTCTGAACAACCTTGCAATAAAATAGTCATAAAAATGAGCCCATTATATTTGAATATAGCATGTATTCAACATCTACAGGTCTGGACAAAAATTGCCCAAGGCCACAGATCACTCTGAAGCTGCCACATCTATGCTACCAAAGAAATGAAGAAAGTGTTAACCCCTCCCTCTCAATAAACCATTAGGCCTCATTCCTCTCCAAGACAGGAACCTCAATTTTCATCCTTCCTGTTCTACTCCAACAGAACATGTTTCACAAAGGAGTCCTTCCCACCCACACCTAATTTCTAATTATTGATTTGTCTTGCACCGGCTTCCTTTCATTTTGACTACGCAATATAACCGTTGCTATGAGCTCTTGCCAAGGTCCTGTGATACCCCATAATTTCACCTTGAGGGTGGTAGCAGTGTAAGGCTCCATCACCCGCCGAACATCCAGGATGAGTTGCTGTACATTCTTGCCAACACGACCGCGGTGAAAGACAAAGCAGTGGGGCACAGAGCTATATTCCTCCTGAGACCGATGCTGGGCAACAGCCCGCTCTTTCTTCTGGTTCTTCGTCTATGAGGAATAAAGGAACAATAGGAGAAATGGCACCAGATGAAGTGCAAGTAAGGCCACAAAACAGATCCCCCTGCCCTATCCACTGTCCTACTCAATCCTCCTCTGTACAACTCAAGGGCAACAATCCCTCCTAAAAGGTTCCCCTTCCCAAGTGATGCCCAATGCCAATAAACTGTCCAATGGGATTTCGGTTCAAAATCAGGAAGAAAAAAGACTCTCTAACTATCTGAAGCATATATTTTGGAAACAAGCTCCCTCAAGTAATCAGCCAGGAATCTAAACATTTCACAACAGATGTGATTACAAGGGTTGTTTTACAGCAGAAGCTAAATCCCTTCACTTGAAACTCAGAGATCAAGAAAATTAAGCCAACAGATAAAAAGCCAGGTGAACTAGATGTGTGACTGGGCTCAGAAAACAATTCATGGCAATTCATGGGTAGGGTGAGGGAGATTCATTCAAAATTAGGTCCAACTAGTCACATATGAGGATGAAAAGAGGCTTCTTCCTTCACAGCAAGACAGGCTGAATTTTTTTTTCTCATTGGTAATGAAGCAGTTTCTAAGCAGAGTGGCCTCAGTCACCTGTGCTATTTGTATTAAACCACCATTCAATTAGAAAAGCTCCTTTACTTGGGGGATAATTTGTACATCTGCAAAGAACTAACATGAATAGGGAAGTATGCAGCACACATAGATTAACTGCCACAAACATCAACCTAAACAACTTTTTTTAAAAAGAAATTACATACTTATTTCATTCCTAGGCATAGCCTAAGGCAGAGAGGTAAATACAAGGGCTGTAGAAATCCAAGTTCAAGTACCTTAAATTATCATAATGCCAATGAGGTGATCTTGGGGAGTCACTAACTCTCACCCAAAACTACTTCCCAGGATTGGTGCGAGGACTCAAAGGAGGAAGGGAAACCCAACACCTATACTGCCTGAGTTCGGTGGAAGACAAGCAGCACACAAATGCAGCAAGCAAGCCATTCAATAACAAGAGGTTCAGATTTAAGTGCCAGGTCCTGAAATCAGAAAATGCACTTGCTTTCATGTCCAGGAATTTAAGCAAAGCCACGCCGGATCATATGAAGCCTAATGAGGCCAGTGTACTCTTCCCACAGCAACCAGATGCCCCTGGGAAGCCCACAGCAGGGCACGCGGATCATTTTCCACTTTGCTGTCCCCCGACAACGAGCACTCACAAGCATATTACTCTGCTGCTGGGCAGGGGATGAGAGGCCACTGGCCTGGAATACTTTTCCACAACGCTCGCCTTATCATCGCTCACTAGGGCCGTTGCTCCTCCTCCCAGACCTGGGGTCCTGAGACCTCTCCTGGGTCCCCTGCCCAGGAAACACCTCTTTTTTCCCCCTCCTCCACTGCACCTCCGCCCAACGCTGAGCCCCAACAGATAAGCCGCAGACTACACATCAAGAGCCCCTCTAAATCTCCCCCGAGAGCCAGCTTGAGGTAGATCCTAGTTCCTACAGCCAGAGCTGGCCACAACCATCTACCTCTAAATTTCCCCACTCCACCACCCGTCAATTTCTTTACCCACCGCCCCAACCGCCTTTTCTCACTTTGCTAGGCCTCCCCATCTTGCACGCAGCTTTCCTCCGCTCTCCAATGCTGCGACCACGTGGGGGACTGACTCGGTCACTTCCGCTCTCGTAGGTTCCCGCACGAAGACGTCCGGCGCCAACTCTTCTAAGCGCCAAAGGTTCCGGCTTTGCCAGGTCTCTCCTCGTGTCTCTTGCTCAACAGTCCGGGGCGTCTCTTGCAATCTTAAGCTTCCCATAGTTCGGCTCCTAAGGAGATCGTGGCGTATGCAAACGACATGTTGCCTCCCGGGGACAGAAGTGAGAGCTGCTCGTTAAAAAAAAGTTGACGAATCCCGCTTTTAATTTTAGGAGCGACAGATGGGGGCAACGGGCGTCAGGGCGTCTCACCGCTGTCAAACACCAGCGGCAAATTTGGACTGTTTCCAGTGAGAACCTCCTATTTATAGTTAGACGTTTAAAGTGAACAAATTAGATTTTTAAACTCAAAGAGTGTCTGCTAATTTAATACGTCTTCTAAATGCAGTCGAACACTGGGGATGGGTTGGGAAGGAACGAGCAAGTGAAGGAGCCGGCTGCCTGGATGTGGGTCCAAGCTATAGGAATTACTTTTTTTATTATTAATTTCTTGCTTGCTTGATAGATGCGGGTAAGAGCGAGCAGAGAAATTGTGTGGTGCTCGGTTCTCTGTCTTCCATGGTGCCTAACTGCCAACGAGTTACTGAGGACAGGCAGGAAACCTAGGACCTGTTAGGAGGGGATGATGAGCGATGGAGAGATGGCTGGTCCTGGGATAAAAGCCCTGCCCTGTGGCGGGGCGGGGGGGTTGGCAAGGCTTTGGGTCCGATTCCGAGCCTGAGTCTTTAGTACCAAGCCCCAAGTCCAAATCCCCTTTAAAAACAAGCTTTTTTCTCCAGAAAAAAAAAGGGAGGGGTTAGGTCTGAGTTGAGTCACCAGTGTGACTTAAATCTGACGTGACTGCAAATCCGGGACTCAAGTCCCCATCTCTGCCCTCTGACATCACCAATTGGGGGGGGGCGGAAGGGGGGGGACCAGTCAGGTCTGAGTTGAGTCAGTGTGACTTAAGTCTGACGTGACAGCAAATCCGGGAATCAAGTCCCCATCTCTGCCCTCTGGCATCACCAGTAGCTTAGGCTCAGTCTTCTTCCCCAGCACCCCCCACATACCTGGCAGCTTCTCCTGTATGTTACAGAGTGGGAACTTCCTGCTCCCCTGGCATTCCTGGGAACCCTCCCTCTGTACGGAGCTGCTGCCTTTGAACTTTTCTGTGCCTTCATCTTTTTGTGTGTGTCCTTTTACATCTGGGAAGAAGGGTTTTTCTTTTTGACCTGTGTCACACTGACCCAGGTTCCCTGGTGGCACTGCAGTCTCCATTTATCTGGCAAATTGGTTCTTACATGCTATGATACGCAGGTATGCTTCCAGGTATTCCTCTGCTTGATCCTTTGCCTCTCTTTTTTTTTGAACCAGAAAACCCACTATGCAATGCTGTGAGGTCAGAGCAGAGAGTGAGCCGTCCCCTCGCGGACAAGACACAGAACAGACGAAAGGAATAATAACAGCTGGAAAGGAAACAGAAGTAGAACAGGGAAAAGATCAAGTGAGTGATACACGCGAGGAGGAAGAAAAGGAGAGAAGCCGCGTGGAGGAACAAGAGACAGAGAGAGAGAGAGGTGTAAGGAAAGGCGAGAGAGAAGGCACGTGGAAGAGCGAGAGGCAGGGAGAAAGATAGGGTGGCGTGAAGAAAGCGAACCATTGGAGCAGTTAGGAGAAAGAGAGAGAGCGAGAAGGGGGTATCGTAGGGATGACAGAGAGAGGGAGATGTGTTCTTAACAACAGAGGAAGGAAACACATCTACAGATACAGAAAAGGTCTCTGTATTTGATGAAACTATTATAGTGCCAGTCCCCAAGCAGTCAGCTGTGGTATCTCTCAATGACTATAGACCAGTAGCTTTAACATCTGTTATTATGAAATGTTTTGAGAGATTGGTGCTGGATTACATTAAGGCTAGACTTCCACCTTCTTTGGACCAATGACAATTTGCATACAGGAAAAATAGATCTACTGATGATGCTGTGTCCATTGTACAGTACTCCATTCTGTATTGAGCCAGTTAGAACAACAGGGAACTTATGCGAGGCTGTTGTTTGTGGATTATAGTTCTGCTTTTAATACCATTCTACCAAATAGGTTGTTTTTCAAAATGATCAACCTGCTGTTTGCTTGGTGCACAAGACTCTGGGCACCGTGTCGTGACATTGCCAGCATGGCTTCCAGCAGACAAAGAGATCATCGATCCCAAGCGGACTAGTTGCAACCACACCTTCCAGGGCTCCCTGCAGAGAGATCACAGGAGGCATCCCTTTCATTCCAGCTGTGTGCACCTCTGTCTGAAGATTACAGGTCCCACACGCTTAGCTCCATGCATTGGGGGGGGTGGGGGTTGTTAGAACCAGAACAAACCCATGGGGAAGATCTGCTCATTCCCTCCATCACCTGCTTCACTTCTAACGGGACCTCTGCTTGTCAGAGATTTTGGGAAAGTTGCCCGGAGCCGTCTGAATGAGCCGCACACTCAAGATGGGACCGGAAAGTGCTTACCTGTAGCTCTGATGTCTCAGTAATGGGTACAGTAATCTGGTGCCAGCTGGGGCCCTGGCCCCCCTTCATAGACCACACCTTGTGCCATTCCGAAGAATTCAGCAGCTTTATATAGAAGTTTATTTCACCTTCCAAAGGAGTCGGGGACCGGCAAAAAGGAACAGAGAGCAGGCAGAATTAGAATGGCCAGTCTGTATTTCTCAGTCTTGCTAGATACACTGGTGCTGAATTCATTAATTCATTCATTAATTAATTCATTCATTCATTCAACTTATATGCCACCCAAACTACCCAAAGGTCTCTGGGCGGTTTACAACAATTAAAATGATAAAATAATTAAAATACAGTTAAAATATATACTCCAGAAATTGTCATCAGGACCCACAGTTGAAATTATTTCAATTAAAAGCCTTGTGGAACAGGAAGGTTTTGACCTGGCACTGAAATGTCATAAGCGTTGGTGCCAAATGAATCTCAATTGGGATGGTGTTCCATAGTCTGGGGGCAGCTGCCGAAAAGGCCCTTTGTCTACAAGCCACCCCTCTTACCTCCTTGAGGGCCGGCTCTTTCAGGAGGGCCCCCTGGCTAGATCCTAATTGCTGGGTAGTTTCATATGGAGGGAGGCGGTCCTTCAGGTATCCAGGGCCCAAGCCGTTTAACAGAGTTTTTAACTGCTGTTAACATATTAGTCAGGCTTTGAAAGGGTTTTTTAAAAGCTATTGCAATGCAGTGCTGATGTGCTATGTCAGTCAGCAAGAGTTTAAATGAAACTGAAAATTTCCTCAACCTTCCCAGCCCCAAGGGAGTGGGAAGGCAGTGCTCCCTTTCTCAAGACTGTTAAGTGACTAAGTCCCATGTCCCATGAGGGGAAGGTTGTCTCATTATTCCCCAGTCAGTTTGTTGCTTTTTTGTTTCTGGCCACACAATGCAGCGCCAAGATTGAGATGTTTTCCCCGCCAGTGGTATAACTGCAGAACATTTCCCCACCACCAGGAGGGCTGTATTATTTTGTACCTTTGTTGTACTGGTGCATTCCTTAACACAGGGGTCCCCAACACCCGGTCTGTTGCCTAGTGCTGGTCCTTGGCCATGGCGGGACCAGGGCACGGAGACAGATCTCATACACACCCCGCACACACTCCACCCACCCACCCGACACACACGTCCCACCACTGGCACGCAAGGATACCCTGCCCTCGCAACCAGTCCGTGACTCAGAAAAGGTTGGGGACCACTGCCTTAATGGGATTTCCTGTGGGCACACCCTGCCTCATTTTTTAGAGTCGAAGCCAGGAAGGTAGTCACCATTACTGTGGCACAGACATTATTATTTTTTAATGGTGCCCAATACATTGGTATGTTGGTAAAAGTATGTCACTAGGGGGCCTCCGCCATCACATTAATGTTGAGTATTTTTTTTAATTCTATGGGAAGATACATTGAAATATTGGTGCCGGGACTGGGGCCATGCCGGAACAATGCGACCTTAGTGCATGCAGGATCAGTCCCATCCCTCTGGGGCGAACTGCTCTAGAAATTGGAGGACTGGGCCATTTCCCTGCAGCTGCGGCCCAGCTCCTCAGGAGGGCCACCTGTGGAATCTGAGGACTGGGCTATATGAGAACAGGCTTTCCCTACAGACCCTTGCTTGGCCTGTGCTGTTATTCCTGCCTTGCCTGACAAACCTAGTTGTTCCTGCTTCGTGCTCCTGGACCTGCTGCTTTAATACTGTTCCTCCTGGCCTGTCTGACCACAGTTCATGTCATCCTTCTGCAGTACTAGACTGCTGTTTGAATTCAAAACCTTAGCTGGTTGGTCTCTGCTTGAGTTGTGGGGCTGTTCCTAACTTATTCCTGTGGTGTTGCTCTAGACTGGGTCCTGGTGCCTTTTCTACTGAACCCTGGCAATTCGTATGTGAATATTACCGGGAGGGGGGGGAGATCACTAGTACTGCTGTGTGGATATTCCAAGTCTATTGTGTGAAATGCATTTCTGCAGGAGCAGCTGGTGCAACAGAGGACATTTTTCTAAACAGAACTCCCTTCCCTATCAATGTTATGTCTAATTTTCGCCCCCCCCATGTGTGAATCTGCCTCCTCCACTGGGTTCTATGGCAACCAGAACGAAAGGGACTGGAAGCGAATGCTGTGGGTGCACAAGGGGGGGGGGAACTGTGGGGGAGGGGAAAGGTCAGTGTTGAAGAGTATATGTAAGCCCATCTAGCAACTGAATGTACCTCCCTCTAGAGAGCAGGCTCCCATTTTAACCGTTCGTAAAACCACTAGTGGCTCTATTGCTAGGCAATACTGAATAACTAATGATTAATTTACCCGGCAGGTTTTTGTCAACATGTCAAAAGAGGAGCAGGCAGCAAATTTGCTCTCCATTAGAAATGGGCACGAAGCTGGAAAAATGATGGTTTGTGACAATTCGTGGTTAGCCACGAACCACCACGAATCAACCAGAAAATAGAACTGGTTCATGGTTTGGTTTTCAGTTCGTGCCTGG